TGGTTTATTGTTGATATCACATGACTATTTGACCTCTGTTTCCGTTGACATGCAGGTTGCAAGATTTGCTTAGTTATATGGCCTGGAATACAAATGGCGAGTTCCAGATCAAATTTCATAAGGTATCCATAGACCTTAATGTTGATGTGTGGGAAAATAAATATATTTTCTATCCTAATTGTGCTTGCACATCACACACTTTTCAAGAGAACCGTGTTAGACTGTCAATTTGAGAATGACCGATCTTCATTGCATTTAAGAGAGATATTCTGCTGGAACTAGACAGGCGTATGAGTTATCTAGTCTCACCAGACACATTTTCAGTCATGTGTACCATATTTTCAAGCAATAAAAAAATAATACCAAATATGATCTAGATAGGAATTAACATAATTTGACATGTTGACAAGAGGCTCAACTTTTTTGTAAGCCTACCAGAAAGTACAACTCTTACAAAATGCACCAATTACAGCGAGTGTTGCTGTTTATTTCTGAATGCAATGTTCCCCTACACCTTAAGCTCCACCCACTTGGACTTGCGCAATTGGTACCGTAATACCATAAACGCTATAGTTTCGTCTATTCTGCCATCGAATTAAAAACATAACGAATGTTATACTTGCAGTTTCTGAGAAAACAAATCATATTCCTATCGATAGCATGCAGGTATATCTCAGTAAAAGGTCGCGTAAGTTTATTAGGTCGCTAGTAAGTGGCTACTCTATGCCAATACCAAATGTTGTTGGCAAATTCTAACTTTTCGATCGGCAGCGGACTCTGGTCCTACACTAAATGTCTAATTATAAAAATGGGATAGCAAGTTTCATAGGAAACTGGTACTATTAATCCTTCTGCATTGTCGTCAGATGCAACACATAGAGACACGAACCATGGTGATACAAGGGTTAGTGGACTGGATTCTCGACCGAAAAGGCGATGGCTTGAATCCTACCATGGGATAAATTTGAGTCTACTGTCGTTGTGTGTCCTTTCGCAAAGCATTTATCAGTTTAAAAGTCGGTTTCTGTGCCGTAAAATACCAAACCAAATCAAACAACTTATCAACTATCTTCCTACCATTCGTACGTATCTTAGACTTCGGGCAGCTATGTGTACATAAATCATATATTTATCTAATATTTCATGAAGCTGTTCAAATGTAATTACTGTCATAGATATATAGGAAACGCTATTCGATGTAGGCACAGGAAATATATTCGAATATCTTATAAGTAAAAGAATGATCTTTTATACCCAGTTATTGAACACATCATTAATTGCAACATGTTTATGCATACACGTATTTCCTATGCAGTTTGCTTATTTTTTTGCAAATACAATACAAGAAAGGAGAAAATATTGCTACGACTCTATGGTCTTAAGCTAACTAAAATCAAAGAGCGAAAATTTTTAAAATTCAGCAAATGATTTATTTCCATAGAATAAAAAGCGAAAATTTAAAAAAATACGATGTACAGTATTGTAAATTAAATCCCAATTACTCCTAAAATATCTATCACAAGTACAAATGTATAGATTTCGAAATGAATTCCAGATGTGTTTCAAATAAATTCCAATATTGAATGTGCTGATGAGCCTGTTGTTTTGAATGTTCTAACGTGTCAAGGGACTCTTATGTCACGAAGCGTTAACAGTCTCGAGATAACACATTAATACAATCCAAGTACTTGAATGAATTCACCATAATTCTTCTTTAAAAAAAAAAAACAACAATCATTTAGAGGTGTGTGTATGTGCACGTGCGCGTGTGTGTGTCTTTCTGAATTTTAACGTAGCTTTGACAGCGTAAGCAGGGTGACAGTTAATATTGATGTCTAGCACTGGGGCATCATGCCACATACGTGAAACACCATGTTCCACCCAGTCACAATATCTTAACACCAGGCCGTCTAGTCATAGAACATACCTTTTAATGCTGATCGCCTAGAGAGGCAGCTACTGGTACCATTGTTAGGTCTTTTTTATAACTCGAGCTGGAATCGGATCCGCTACCTATCGCATCCGACATGATGATGATGATGATGATGATGATGATGATGATGATGATGATGATGATGATGATGATGACGTCGACGACGACGACCGGAAATTGTAACCGATTATCATAGATAAATATTAGCTTTGTATCATGCTTTTGCAACATAATTGAATTGACAGTACATTCAAATGTGTTTCTTCGTCGTCGTCTTCATCTTCGTTTTTGTTTTGTCTGAAAAGTTCTTAACAAACTAAAAATCTTTCTTCTGCAATATTTTGGGCAGCTTGAATCCATTAAACATGATACTCTGTCTACGTAAAACCAGTAGAAGACTAGTTGTTTTCATTCCAAACGTATAGCTAGCTCATTCATTATGAACAAGTTACCACTAAGAAAATGTTATCCTGTATGTTGCCTGTTGGTATGAAATAATAAGATATACCAAACAGAACAGATACATCAAACTATAATTGAATAGTGAATTATGAATACGCATATAATTATAGTTTCCAGAGTAAATTATTAACTTTAGACTCAGTCTATCAGGGATGAATTTTCACTTGTCAATCAATAGAAAAAATAAGAAAGTAGCACAGGAGTAATTAATAATTCCTATTTTAAATGAATTAATATTGTTACACAGAATAATCGAAATTACCATCTCTCTCTCTCTCTCTCTCTCTCTCTCTCTCTCTCTCTCTCTCTCTCTCTCTCTCTCTCTCTCTCTCTCTCTCTCTCTCTCTCTCTCTCTCTCTCTCTCTCTCTCTCTCATGCCAAAAGAGACATATAACACACCTCAACCCAATCCACCCCATTCACCCCAAAAACTAACGTAGAAAGAAGCTAAGCCATATTTGTGCTATACTACCAAACTAAATTTTGAAGATAAAAATGACTTGTTTTAAATATGAGTTGTATTTTATTCATATCAACACTTACAGAACTTCACATGGGTGATATGGGATAAATCACAATGTGTCATATTATGTAATAAATATATCCAAGGTCAATGTACCAAATAGTATGTACCTCTTCCACTTCAAAAAAGTCAAATTGCCTAAAATTAAGGGATTTTTTTATATTTATTGGTAGATGCAAAACTTAACATCAGAGACAGGTAGACATGGTACGGTCTATTTATAAAGTATAAGCTTTCAACACTTTACAGTGTCTGTAGAGGTCACGAACCCCCAGTCCTCACACTAAGGTTAACCTACCCCATCCCCCATCCTCTTTGTAACACTTATAGAAATGTCCTCTCCTTTGCGTAGCAAAAAAAATTGATGCAATAAAGTAATCTATAACGATGCATATGTATATATATATATATATATATATATATATATATATATATATATATATATATATATATATATATATATATATATATATATATATATATATATATATATATATATATATATATATATATATACTCCAATGAATTTAAGAGAGATAACTTTAATGGAACTAAACGGGGGTAAAAGTTATCGAGTTACACCAAACATGTTTACCACATATTAAAATAACAAAAGCATAAAAAATACAAAGTGTAATCTAGATATAAAAATAACATAATCTCATACGTTGCCAAGAGGCTTTAGTTGTTTTAAGGCTAACAGAAAGCACAACTGTTACATAATGCACAAATCAAAGCTAATTTTGGTGTGCATTTCTGAATACAATGTTCCCTACACCTTAATCTCCGCCCACCTGGGGTTGTACAGTTGGAAACTTTATATTTGTTCATATCTCTCTCTCTCTCTCTCTCTCTCTCTCTCTCTCTCTCTCTCTCTCTCTCTCTCTCTCTCTCTCTCTCTCTCTCTCTCTCTCTCTCTCTCTCTCTCTCAATGGTCGAGGCAAAATTACGCGGTAGTAAAGAAGAGAGGAGGTAGTATAAAACAATCTTATGGTTAGGCTGCAATGGTAAGTAAAACATAACAATGAATTACGTCAACTTGAAATAATTTTAAATGTCTGAATTACCTCTTTTTGGCTCGTCATTTCGCTTAGCGTATCCTCTCTCGTTTCTCTTTACTCGATTGTAATTTAATCTGATGTCGCATCCTTTAGCCACGCAATATGCCGAACTAAACTTTCTTCATTTAAGCCAACTTTCTTGTATAAATTGTAAGCGTCTGCTTTACTGATTTAATCAACATGAATAGATAATAGAAGTTCCAAAAGGAGTAAATGAGCCAATTTCCAAATGATTACTATACAAATCACCCAACTAAGAAACTTTATAATTCGAAGGGATGCGAAGAGTTTACTATTTACCCGTCATGATAATATCCTGTCGTCAATCTAAACTATGTTGGAAACATAATTTTCATTTGCATGTGATATAAATAAAATGTGTGTATTGTTTTCACGCAGTATTTTTGATATACTACTCGATGTATACATGTTTAATTAAAGGGAAACACACATTATGTCTAATCTTGATGGATCATTACATTTTATGCTTTAAATGTGTCCATTATCCGATACCATTTGTAAATTTAAAAGACCTTCATGAAAATCACGTGGGTAGCGAATTACAAAATATTTTATCCTCCTATGAAGAAGTTTACAATTGGCATTATTATTATTATTATTATTATTATTATTATTATTATTATTATTATTATTATTATTATTATTATTATTATTATTATTATTATTATTATTATTATTATTATTATTATTATTTTTTTTTTATTATTATTATTATCATTATTATTTTATTATTATTATTATTATTATTATTATTATTATTATTATTATTAGTATTATTATTATTATTATTATTATTATTATTATTATTCTTCTTCGAGGTTACATCCTCACACCAACACACAGACACACATACACAACCACCACCACTACCACCACAGCCATAGACGAAACAGACCCACTATGACCTCAAGTGCGACATCCGCCATTTAGCAAGCTGCTGTCCTTATTAACAATTCTGAAATCTTTATTCCATTTTACGACATTTCTGAACACTGTTTTTTGTGATACGTTTAGCCTAGTGGTTAGAGCGTCTGCCTCTGATGAGGACGGTCGTGGGTTCGATCCCCGGCCTAGTCATACCAAAGACTTACTCAAATGGTACTAACAGCTGCCTCGCTTGACGCTCAGCATTAAGAGGTTAGTGTTAGCACTGGTCTGTCTGGTGTCAGGATAATGTAACTGGGTGGGACATAATGCTACATGTCTGCGCATGATGCCCCAGTGCTAAACATCACTATAAACTGCCACACTGCAGACAACGTAGCGATATGACTGAAAGGTTTTTAAAGCTACGTTAAAAATCATAAACACCACACCACCTATTCGTCTAGATAGTTTTTATATTGAACATGAGTTCATCGTATTAAACTACCAAAGGGACCGACAATTACGTTTTACATATGGGAATAGTGTTTTTAAAACTCTGGTATTTTCATTCAATTTCTAAAATAACATGAAAACAAAATTAGTAATTGAATTGATATAATTAGGGACTCCCCGCCCTGCCTAGGAGTGGCTGTGTCAAGTTACCATTTCACATGAAGGCCTACCTGGAAGACATGCTAAGCGTCAAATGGAAATTCTCAATAGATACGGCGTAAATAAATTAACAAAAAAAACCCCAAAACAAAACAAAACAAAAAAAAGACCAGACCAATGTTTGAAAAAATGGAGATAAATAAAGGCAGGTCAAATTAGTTTACAACAAGCTGGTCGGGGATGTCTGGAGTTACAAACAACGCATTATTTCGTCACGCATGAACACAAACGTGTGGGTACCTAAGCAGGGTCGTTGACTTCGTGATTTAATAAGAGGCGCATTAAATGCTACGTTCAGACCATTTGAACCTTAAACAGTATGGAAAATGTACGTGCTGACTTTAAATGTGTACATCTTACATGGGGGAAATCTTAATACCTAGGACGAATGGTTTAAACTTGCAAGAGAAATACGGTATATATATATATATATATATATATATATATATATATATATATATATATATATATATATATATATATATATATATATATATATATATATATATATATATATAAAGAAGCATTTGCATAAGGGAATTAGGTGAGTAAATTAGTATTTAGTCTTCGGGCTGGCGGAAGGGGAACCGAAATTGCTTGGAAAATACTTCTGCTCTAATTTGGGGGAGGGGGAAACAACTATTTGATCTATCTTATTAGTAGAAAAAAGATATATTGAAACAAAAGAAAATGTTTTTTTTGGAAACAATAGTCCAGGCTCATGTAACTGCAGAAAATTAAAATAGTGGGTCCATAAATACCAGATTACATTTATATAGAACTTTTATTTAATTATTCACAGGCAGATTTTGCTGTATTGTACAAACATTTTTTCCCCTTTTACTTCAAATTTTATATATTCATTTTAAACAAATAGGCATATTCACCTAATCCACTGTTTTTAATGTTTTTTTAAATGTTGCAGTAAAGTCAAAATAATATTTTGTAAGCTATGTCACCAGTAATATTGTTGAAATCACTAACAACTCCACAATAAATGTCCAATAGCAACAATAACATTTTTCTGCTGGCCAGAGAAGTGTTACGTTTAGTTTTATTTCGAGCTCTGAAGCAAACTGGAAACCTCAAAAGAAAATGTCATCTGCTTAATTTTGATGTTACTAAATGGATGCATTCGCTGACATATTGTCATGTTCTCGGTTAAAAAAAAAAAAAAAAAAAAAAAAAAAAAAAAAAAAAAAAAAAAAACATATAAAAAGCTGGAATCTGTGTATATGATACAGAAATAAAAAGCTGGAATCTGTGTATATGATACAGAAATAAAAAGCTGGAATATGTGTACATGATACAGAAATAAAAAGCTGGAATCTGTGTATATGATACATAAATAAAAAGCAGGAATCTGCGTATATGATACAGAAATAAAAAGCTGCATTTAATTCGATATCATGAAGGTAAGATTAAATAAGCGGTGGGCTGCGGAAAAGATTATTTTACAAAAAGGTATTTGTAAAAGCATCTTTCAATCAGAGGGTTAATTTAAGTTGTTAGAACACGTACCTAATTATTATTGACAATAAAATATGTTTAAACAAGAAAAAAGAAAACAACATATCAGCCATTAAATGAAAAGTCATAATTTTAGACAATGCTTGACCAAAACGTATCTCTGTAAGAAACTACAATATAAGTACGAACGGATAATGCTAGTGGCTAACGAAATATCTCTAATAACATATCATTATTTCGTACTCCGATAGAGGCTTTGTTTAGCTAATTGGAACTGTTAATTGAGCTAATTGGAACTGTTAATTGACATACAAGCAATAAAGTAGGATCAGGCATTTGATTTAGTCTTGTTTTAAAGGAATGATGGATAAGCAAAGTATAAAGTTGGTGTGCCATGCCCTTTCAAAGAATACAACGCTAACAGCAGCGACAGCGACAAGAGCACTGTCACCACCTCTACATCTATTACCAATAATAATAATAATAATAATAATAATAATAATAATAATAATAATAATAATAATAATAATAATAATAATAATAATAATAATAATAATAATAATATTATTATTATTATTATTTTTATTATTATTATTATTATTATTATTATTATTATTATTATTATTATTATTATTATTATTATTATTATTATTATTATTATTATTATTATTATTATTATTATTATTATTATTATTATTATTATTATTATTATTATTATTTGGATCGTCATCACTGCAATAACATAACAAAAATAATCATCACAACTGCCAAAGTGCGAGTACATTTGTTAAGAGCTACTTCTAAAAAGTAAATAAGTATAAACAAAACGAACTGCAGATAAACATTTGTACAATGCAAATTGAAGAATTCTTCATATTAATTACTGTTTCTTCAATGATTTTATTAAATTTAAAATGAAGATCCAAGAGTTTTTTATGTACTTGTGTAAACTAATCGAATTCATTACTGTTTGTTTGATTCATTAATTTATTCATTTGAAGAATAATAACAATTCATAATGTTATGTGATGTTTTATGACACGCCTCCTAGTATACAACCAAATTCATCGTAATGAACTCCCTATTCTTACCATTGTGATCTACTATCTTCACTATAGTGCACTGCCTTGTTTTATTGTATCTACCGGAGTACACGTATTGCTGAAACGTTGAGACAATTTGTGCGACTTATGCAAAGTTATCTTTACATATGTATAGTCTTTTTCATAAGTATACGCTAAAATCTTGAGCACAAGGGTTTTAAACCCTTCTTCTGACCCCCCCAACAAAACAAACAATGGTGTTTGTTTTACAGACTTCCACTCTCCTCATAAAACTCAGTGTATAGAAGAAGAAGAAGAAGAAGAAGAAGAAGAAGAAGAAGAAGAAGAAGAAGAAGAAGAAGAAGAAGAAGAAGAAGAAGAAGAAGAAGAAGAAGAAGAAGAAGAAAATTGACAATAATAGCGACAATAAGTAAGTACAATGGGAAGATATTCCAATGTCTATACTCTTGCTGCATAATTTGTCCTCTGCTTGACTGGACCTAGTTTGTTGTTTTTTTTCTTTATTACATTAAATGTGAGTTTGTTGGTTGTCCCTATACCATGACTCATATTGTGAATGTGTGAAACTCACCGAGTGGTACTATTATAGAATTGGCGAAACCACAGACTAAATATGAATGGAGTTGTCGATGGAATTTGTTTATTATGCAAGGTTCCTCTTGACCAAACTAAAGGTATTTAGCCTTTAAATGGAATAAATCCTTAGATAAATATTGAAGTTAGAATAAAATTAATAAATACTTCTATTTAACATTTTAAATGACGATCCTAATTTTAAATTCTTCAGCATCAAAGAATTAATCTTATATCCACTTATATCCACGTGCGTAGAGGACACGATAATAAAGGTATTTGCCGACTGCTGATGGTATTTTGTAATGATATTTCAAACAATCGCACGTTTTTTACCCTGTTACTATTCAGCTGGATTACATATCAAATATATCTCTTTCAAATTTGAATTAGTATTATGGGACTTTACCTATTGTGGTGGCATTGTTGAATAGGCAAGTAAGTTACAATCTTTCTTTGTTATACATTTTTAATATCTTTTAAAGAAAGACTGCGTGACGAATGTGTCCTGATACAATATATTCGGGTTCATTTGTTTCTTATTGTTTTGTTTCTTCACTATTTTCTTGAGCTTTTCCGTATTCCTAAATGCTGTTTGTGATATAGGTAATATTCAACCACCAAGCAATATTATTTACAATTGTTCACCTCAAAAAAATGATTTATAATTGACACATATTCAATGGACGCTGAAATCATAGGGTGTCCGAGTAGACCTGCTCCAGATAAGCTAGTATTGGGTTTTTCCCATGAGTAAGTAATGTAAAATAGGGTTAAACAAGGGTTAATTTTCCCATTTGCATTGTTACTTTTGCGACCTCGCGCGCATATCTCTGAATCTACATTCACGACCTATTAGGGAAATAAACATTCAAGTCGTTCCTGAATCACAGTTCTATTTTACGAGGTGTGGTGTTTAAATGAGTTCATTTTTTAAAAATGTAATCGAATAGAGTGAGGTTAACATCTTGCAAGTTGTCACAAAAAGACCTTAATGAGACTCTGTGATATATATATATATATATATATATATATATATATATATATATATATATATATATATATATATATATATATATATATATATATATATATATATATATATATGTATATATATATGTATATATATATATATATATATATATATATATATATATATATATATATATATATATATATATATATATATATATATATATATATATATATATATATGTCCTATACACACGACGAATCTTGTGCATAGTGGAACTGAAGAAATGCCACATTTTAGCGAGATTGAATTTCTATTCTATTCACTTACGTTCAGCAAGTATTCAGTTTCTTGCATTTTTTGTTTGACTGCGCAGGAAGATTTTATTTCTTTCAAATTGCCAATCCATGTTGCTCAAGGACATGTAAACACGTTGAATCTAGGACGGTGATTATTTTGCG